GTGTGACTTTGGTGTTATTAACCCTTGAAAACACTGAAGTCACACAATAATAGAAACAAACTAAAACAAAAAAGTCACACAATAACACAAACAAACTAACCGACCAAGGCAGCAGTAGACCAGCAACTCCTGTGATCTCCGAGGTAAAATTATTGTTTTCACCAATGAAGTCTGGTGGCTTTGACGAGAGCAACATCGTGACTGTTTCTGGTTAAACAAAAAGGATCCTACTCTTTAAATAAAGGTCTGTCTCTGTAGGGATTCCTTCCACAATGCTGTCAGACACTTGACTTGAGTTAGAAAATGCAAAATTTCTTTGAAACTGAACACACTGTGGTTTAATTATCGGGAAATGTGAAAGAGGCACAAAAGGTTGTTTAAATAGGAACAGTGGCATTTCAATTCTCCTAAAGAGGAACTGTGTGGAAGAGAGCCTGTGTTTGCACTGAAAATATCTGTCTGACTGTGTCAAATCAAATTAAGTAACCTACCAACCTAATGGTCACAGTTGTCAGAGACAAATGCTTGCAAACTTGAGCCTGATTTTATGAATGACTGAGTGACATTCAAGTTTGCCTTGCTGGTTGGCTGAAGACAAGAGCAAAGAAAATCTCAACGTACAGTATGATTCACCACAACAAAGTGTTAGGGAGGGGGTGGTGATGTCATTGGTGGTGGTGGGGGAGTCATCTGTGAGTCAGAGAGGAAAAAGAAGAGGAGGAGATGGAGGAGGAGGAAGAGGATAAGGAAAAGAGGTGGGTAAAAAAAGGAGCACATGGGGAGGTGGGGTACCTGCTGTGTGTGACCCATGGTAACAGGCAATGCTGGCCTGCGGATGACTCACCACTGCTTTACCAACCTCACACACGCACACACATAATACACAGGGATGCTCACGTCATCCGCCATGACACACATACATGTAAGAACACATCATGCAAAGCAGCAATGCAGCCTGCTTCATGGCATTAGGAACCATGTAGATGTCCGCACAACATAAACACATCGCCAAGAGGATGATCACACATCAAGCACATGCACATAGACGCACACACACTTATACGCACGTCCACGCCACATGAAGTGCAGGGAGAGGAGGGGAGGGTCAGGATGACTCACACATCAACGATAACACCCCTCCCCCGATCACACACACACACACACACACACACACACACACACACACACACACACACACAAGAAGAAGAACATATCATTTGGATGCAACCCACATCCTCCCCACATCCTCGGGAACCTCCCATATGAAACTCATACTGACAGCAGGAGACTCCGTCTAACTGCAGTTTGTCTAAGGTGATGGGAATTCTCTGGCAGGATGGTCTGAATTAAATAAATATGGATAAAGTAAAAATGTGAAAAGTTTGCAGTAGTGTGTCTGTACTGGGTTTGTTAGTTGTATGCTGTACAGATTGTAAAGCTCTTTGAGGCATATTGTGATTTGTGATATTGGGCTATATAAATAAAAATTGCCTACTGGTCTCAATGTTTCAAGTCTTATGGGTGCTCATCTCCTAATATCAATTGATTTAGGTTGAAATCGATGTTTATATTTTAATTTCTGTACAAAGAAGAGCTTGGTGGGGATGGTAGTCGGCCTCTAAATCATGCTAGTGTATTTTAGACTTAAGACCACATTTCCCAGAAGCCTCTTCCAGTTGGAATGGATGGATGTTTTTTAAAGCCAAAGGTTTTGTCTATCTTTGTCTTGCTGAGGAGGATAAACATGTTACAAGTGATTTTTCCATCGGCCTGTCACACGTTACACCATCTGCCTTTCTGAGAAAAGAGCTTTAGCTGCAGTTGTACTGAACAGTGCCCTCTGGAACTCCTATTAGCACTACACACTTGTGCTTAACATTGTTATGAACTGTTTATTGCTGTACTTTTTTCTTCTGCACTTCTGCTAACTCTGTCTCTGTGAATTGTTTTATTGTGCATGTTCTGCAAAGCAAGTTCCCTTTGTGAAAATATATTAAATTTGCCTGATTTGTATGGTAAAGCAATTCTAGCAGGTCTTATGCACAGGCACAAAATGTGTAATGCAGAGGAAGCTTTTGACAATTACACAAACACTCGTTATTCATTCATTTCAAAATGCAAATTAGTGTCCCTAATATTATATATCCCATGTGTCCCGTGTGTTGGAGGGATTTTATTTACCTTTATCTAGTAGTAGTAGTAGCTTCCTACCAGACAGCTGCAGAGAAAACAGAAAATGATCAGTCTTTATGTTAAAGGGTAACTTCTTGAGTGGGGAAATTATGGTGCAGCCTTGTTGCTCTGCTGGCGACTACAGCGCGCTCGCTCAATACTGGAGCACTGACTAAAATGTTTTCCTAATTAGTCACATAGACACAAAAACATGGGAAAATAGGGTCCTGGTTGAAAAATACCTTTGTTAGCCGTCAAGCTAAGCTAACCAGTGGCTGGCAGTAGCTTCACAGAGTAGCCCACAGACATGAGACTGGTATTCATCTTCTCATTAATGCTCTACAAAGACATGTATTCCACCACATCTACAATAGTATATGAGATTTCTAAAATAGGCCTTTTTTCACATAAAACATTTAGACATGTCACAGCAGGAAAAGCACTGGTGTAAATAATAAAATTAATGATGAAATTGTAAACCATTTAGCTACTTCAGTTTCAGGATCCTGGTGTTGTGCATGCTGGCTCACTGGCATGACTTACTGGGACTATTTCATTCTAAATGTCTGTTGCAAAAAGGGTCCATTTTCAAATAGCAGTCACTCAGTTAAAATATGCAGTCAAGTCAGGTAAATCACATAAATATTAGTATCAATATTAAAAATATCAGACCAGAAACAGTGTACATTACTTCCATACCTCTGAACAAACCTGAGTAGTATTTATAGGAAAAAGCAGTTTAAAGATCCCAGTCTCCCTGTTGTTTCATAGAATAGGCTTTTTGCCCTAAACATATCATATGCCTTTATCAACTACTGTTAATCAAATCGTCTTTGCACAAAAAAGTCTGTTTAACACAAGCCAGAAAAGAAAAGCACGTCCTTTTGGAAAGACAGCTCACTCCCATGGCTCTCTGTAAATCAAAAAGCCTCCTCTTATCTTTTGATAGCTAAAACATGCAAGCAGTGCAGGCACTTGGCTAGCTCACATAATTCCCATCAGTTACTCCAAGAAATACTTCCGCCTCTCTAAATCGAGGGCAGCTGACGAGACACAGACTGATCTTGGCACAATGGAGTTATTTTATGAATGACATCTGGATAACAAGAACACCTGCACTTGGTGACCCTGCTGGAGCAGAGGAAGAATGACGTTACGGAGGGATTTAAGTGGACTGAAGCTGACTTTGTGTAAGATGTGGATGATAAGGAATTTTGTTGTTTGTGTGCTTTGCCAGAATTTACAGCTGAAACACTGTCAGCGATTAAACCTGTCTGCACCTGGCAAAATGAAGCTTGTTTATCCAAGGTCATGCAGTGACGTAGTAGTTCAGTGCAGGGGTGTTGATCGTCTGGCATATGACCTTTGCCCTATTTGTCTTTTTCGCTCTCCCACCTTTACGGGCTATTTGTAAGTAAATGAACACAAAATGATCTTGAAGTACTCAAGTAATGCATTCTCTAAAGCTGAGGCAGTTTAAAGTTCACATTTGCATCCCAGAACTACTGAACATCTGTCATGTCTGACCGATAGCCGTTTCTATTTTTCCAAGGTGCACAATGCAAAAGAGGAAATTGCTCAAAAAACTAAGAAAACGAATAGTTCATATCAAACAGAAACAATTAGTAAAAATGTCTACCAACATTCAACAGTTGTCTTTCCCTATGCAGTAAATGTGTCAAATTCAAAATTTCCTTTGGTCAAATCTCACACCACTTTTACTACTCTAAAAAGTATGCAACACATGGCATGAGTTTACAATTAATACTCCCAGTAGGCTAAAAACACTTTTCAACTGGATTTATGCAAACGTGAAAATCTGCTGTGCTTGGCCTCTGCTCTTTAAAAGGTGAAAAACATATCAGTGAATTGAGAGTGACATTTCCCCCTTTGTTGTAAAAGATGACCTGAATGGAGCCAATGTCAACTGAGCACCACTAGAGGCCAATATCCAACCATGATGGGGTGGAGAGACGGGCGAGATGATGTGTCACTATGTGACTGTAAAAGTTTCCAGTGAAACCAGACTGTTTCAGTTGGTGTGACATGTCTTCCAGGTGGGGGACCTTCACCTCCTGTTCCAACTGCAATGAAAAACACTGCTGTCATGTATAATTAGCCACCACTTGTAAATCACTTTGATTCTTGTACGCGCGCACGCACACACACACACACAACACGTCTCATGTATGTTAAATTTAGCATGGCTAAGTACATCTCATGTCAGTAACTGGATATCGTGGTCAGCTAGGCTTCCTCTCTATGTGGCTGAAGACTGTTGGATCTCTACGTTATTTGAAGCCTCCTCACACACACTGAAACCAGACTCCAGAAATACTGAATGTCGTGGATCATTTTTTTTTATTTAGGTCCAGGTAAAGTTCAAATTAAACTTGGTTTAAGTCTAAAATAATTTATCAAATTTCTTGATATATCTCTCCAATTTAGGCTTTTGGAAACAAAATATCATTTAAAATGGTAGGTATTAAAGGGGTATAAAACTTTTGTGAATTGTGTGATTTTTTTCAAAATGCTTTTCTTAGAATTTTTCCCTGAAGTCAAAACAAACCTGAACTTCATTTTAATCCAGAGAGCAACAGCATGGATATGATGTATGTATGTAAATGTTTGCATGTAAATTTAATACAATCCAGCAGTGATAGAAATAGCTCAATAAATCAATAAACGTATCTTTAAACAGTTCTCTGATGTCAGTCTATATGACAGAACACTAACATTTCAAGTTGCTGTGGTGAGCCAGTTGAGAGGAAGTGGTACCATGCAACCTGAACTTACAAAACTAAAATGGCTGTTATGTCATGACATACTTTTACTGAAAGCGTTCACCATTTATTTAATATATAGCGCAATACAAAATGTACTTTTCCACTTTAATTCAAGACATTTTCCAAGCCAGATACAAAAAAGTATCATTCCACTTCCACTAGAATAAGGGTAAACATGAAATAGATGACTTTTTTATTATTTCATTGTAACGTCAAAGGAAATAAAAATCTCTGCTCTGTATTAATAGTCCTTGTTCTTCACAGGGCAGGATTTCCAAATCACATCTGGCCATACAATCATGTTTTCCTCATTGGTAACTAATTGGATGCCAGTGACTCAGATAGGGAGTTGGAATCATTTATTTAACAAAAATGATCCAGTTGCAGCTTATTTCATCCCTATCACTGTGTCCTTGAGCAAACATGTACAAAGGAAACAACATTCTTGATTGAACTGTGTGTACGTATGGACAATATCTAAATAAATGAGGAAGGGCAAACTTGGACCCAGATCTTCTATGTGGACTGAACCTTTTCAGTGCCCCCCACTTAACCTAATGATTTTACCTTCAGTCTTGTTTTACCTGAACTATTGCACAACAATACAAGGATAACAAATATTGGTCAAGAAGATAAAAAGCACAGTAAAATATATTATTTCACACTGCATAAATCCACCCATAACCCCAAAATTACCCACTGGCCCATGGGCTGGGTACCGCCTCTCTATATGAACAACAACACAAACAAGACTGCCTCCTGGTGGCTAAACAGGAGATCAGTGCATGCTGCTGCTAATAACAGCTAGTAAAACAGTAAATAAGGCATTAATTTATACATCACACATTTCATAATTGCAAATAGCGCTTGACAGTTCTCCACTAACAACTGAGGGTATTTTACAGATTTTTTTAGCAATCAATATTTTACAGACAATAGACATATTGTCCAAATCATGTCAAGTGGAAGAAAAAAAAAGTTATTTTCTCCCTTTTTTAATGGGGGGGGGGGGGGGGGTGATGATAAAAAACAATGGAGTTCAATAGATGAAGAGGACTCGGGTGCGGGGCAAGGTGGACAAGGTGTCAGCCATCTTGCGGATTCTGGCATAGTTGATGAATCCTCGCAGAAAGAGCAAGGAGCCTGAGGAGCAAAATACGGGACAGTCAGAACTACACAAGTACAAGTGCTATAGGGAACAACAACTCCATATCAGGACTTGGCAGCAGTGATAAATGTGAGGTCTGTTTGGTATGAAATAGATGAAATAGATAAAATTATTATCGTATAATAACACAATATTTAATATTAACTATGCTGCTGTAACTATTCTGTAATGTATTTAAAGCATATGACGCCTCAGTGCTGTTGTAATGGAGCTGCAGAGAACTGAAATGCATCACAGGCAGGACAAAACCATTCGAGTGATTTAAATTCAGAGGCTGGCTACTTACCCAACATCAGGAACACCCACCACAGCCAGTACTGTCCATCAAAGTAACCGGGGAAATATGTGGAGAACTAGAAACCCAACAGAACGACAGAAATGACTGGTTAGAATAAATATGGCCTGCACTGGTTTCACTCAAAGAACTCCTGCATTTTAGAGATCCTTCTAAGAGATCTTTGAGGAAATAGTGCAGCGCCAAAAAGCCAACCACTACAGAAACAACATTAAAATACCAGAGTGGTGTTTGGGGCTTTTGAGTTGTTGTGCGTACATAAAACCACATTTTATGTGTTTGTATGTGTGCTGTGTAATGTCTGTGTTTGTGTGTGTGTGCTCCTCTTCTTACCCTGACTATGAGGATCCATTTAATAAGGGACAGGCCAAAGCCTGAGATAGCCCCGTAGCGGCCAGCTGCTGAGGTGGTCAGACAGAAAGACAGGAAGAAACCGATCCAGTTGAACAGGAATGCCACTGGACAAACGATGGAGAGAAAGCAGAGGGAAAGTGTCATCAGAACGAGAAAAAAACAAAAAACTGAAAAAAGCAGTAAATTAATTTTTCTCAAATATGAGAAGATGTCATTTCTGCACAAATCTAGTTGGAGAAGACAAGAGCTGAAGATGACAATGTGGGTAAGAAACAAAGGAGGAGTAGATTGGGTAACTAACTGAAAAAAGTGAGCATGAAGATTCCATCATTTCCTATCCTCAGCTGATCAGCATCTTCAAAGTCGTCTCTGGCCACAAAGTCTTCATCCTGTGATAGAGAAAGCCACAGAAGAGCAAAAGGCACTAAGACAATTTCACCACAGCACAGCCAGGCAATAGCAGAGTTTTCCAGGGCTTTACTTACTCACTTATGTGAAAATATTTCGAGTTTGTTTTATTGTAACCAATTTATTATTATTTAAAGTGCAATGTAGTGACTTGACATCGAAGTGAACTGTGATTAAGCACTGGCAAGCACCTGCAAGTGGAAACCAAGCTGTGCCGACAACAGAGAGCAAACACAGCACAAACAACCAACACACCAATGGAACCATCACAACATAGCAAGCCCATTTAATTACTTCATCATTATCACTTTACCCAAAGGTCTGGAATCTACTTCGATGTAGGACATCAGAGGAACTAGTAGATTTTGTATAACTATCAACTACGCACTAGCTAGCACTCTAAATGCACAAACATACAAGAAGGGTGGGGTGCTGAATACACAAAACACTGTAGGTACATCTGTGTTTTCACATACCACACACGGACCAAATACACTTCCTCTCATAAGACACTCTCCCAGTTACCTCCAGTGAACTGCGAATTACATCGTCAAAAGTCTCCAGGTGTTCCCTGTGCTGCGGCTGCTGCTGAGCGCAGCGTGTGGCAGAGAAACACAACACCAACAATCAAACAGGGTGGCCTCACATGCAGCGAGGCATCACAGTGACCACTAGAGGTCAGAGACGAGATGTTCACTTTTCAGTTGATTTGAAATTTAAACAGAAATAGTAGTTGTTAAAGGCAACTATGTATAAATTTCTGATGCTGAGCAAGAGAGAGACTCAGACATGGGTTTTGTGTATGAGCTGCTCGTGACAAGCCTCACACACACACACACACACACACACAGTGAGATTACCGGTGTCTTTTTCACACAGTCCCTTTCAGGCGTTAAATTAAAATTAATTGCATGCTGTAAAAGTTCCGTTGTGCTTTGTCCTACGTAAATAAAAGGACTACATAATAATTGGAAAAGAAATGTTTGTGTTTATAAAAGAACACCGATGTTTCACTAAGTAATCATACCATTAAAGCTTTGGAAATGTTGAATGTGTCTAATATCAAAAACAATATCTTAACAAAAATTTACTTAAAATAATTTATTTTTAAAAGGTTGCATCAGTAAGGCATGGTCTTTATTAACAGTTGCAGCCATGGAAAACTAACACATCAGAAAACTCATGTCCTCCTCCACAAGCCCGATAGCTTGCTTACACTGAAAATCTTACCCCGTGTGAGGCGTCTGATATAGAGATAAGTCCAAAGGCTGCATATAATAACACCCAACATCTGTAAATTCTACACTGACAGACCATACCTCATCACCACAGAAAAACTGGCTGATGTGTGGTGGCCAAACCAAACATACATAACACTAAAAACAGTAGCTTCTGTTGCTTTAGCTACGTCACAGATTAAAATACATTAAATGAATATGTATGTATAATACATAAAATTCAAGGCATCAGTACAGAATATATATATATATATATTTTGTTTTTTTTTCATGTTTCAAATGCTGCACATTACTTAGATTTGGGGAAAACAAACCCAGGTGCAAAATACACAGATGGTTGTTCAGATGGAAGATTGAAGCATTTGTAACAGAAAAACACCGGCACCTGTGAGACAGACTGTGGTCATTATGTGCAAAAATATTACTGAATGGCCTTTAACATGACTATATAATTAGAAATGCATTGTTATTGTCCAACCCAACAAGTCTGGCAGCAGTTCATGTAGGAATAACTGAGACACAATTAGATATGTGAAGTACATACACAGTTCTGAAGACTAAAAAAAAAAAAACAGGGTAACAGGGTGCTAAGCACTTCCTGCCTTGCAGACAACACAGGAAGTGTTTGAGCAGAAGTTACAGTGTGTGTGTTTGTGTGATGGTGTACATAGTGAATGTGACCACAGGCATTAAAGGAAAAAAACATGACACTCACTCTTCCGGTTACCAGGGGAAGAGCAGTCTCTGCCTTGGTTCTTTCTGCTTCATCATAGGAAGGTAGCGTAGTCGCTACGTTGTATGATGGGGGCTTGGGGAAAGCCCCGTCTTCCTTGTAGTCAAAGTAGGCTGAAGAAGAAACACAATTTTCAAACACAGAGGCAGAAGTCTTACAAACACAAAGTCTTATTTCACATTGGCAGGCAGCTGACTAGTAACTGCATCTCATATTTGCTGCCACTGCCAAAACTAAAGCCACTATTTAATATGTGTTTTTGTTCTTGTGCTTTGTCACTACAAGCAGCGCTGGAAGCATAGGCTGGAAGTGGAAACATCCTCAAGACTTGAAGGTGATCTTTGAACTACAATTTCCTACAAATCTCCACTAGCAAAAAACAATTGACCAATTACCTCATTACATTATAATAAATGTGCTGTTTATGCAAACATTGTGTGAGATTTTGCTCAGTGAGAAAATGTTTGAATGCCTCTATAGTGGTAATATAATTCGGAAGTTATGATCAACTATTTTTTACTACTGTAACTAAAAGACCTTCTGAAAGCACCCAGGTCTTCATGAAAGGGTGAATCCTGAGTGTTTCAGTGTACAAAACAGTCAGCTAGCAGCTTCTCATTTTTAGCCGGCACAGACCGTCACTTGACATACATCGCTGTAAGAAGATGTCACTAATAAATGTTTATTCTGTGAGTAACGTGATGACATGGCACAAATTTAACTTGGTTGTTGCATGTTTGTGTGCCATCTGCAAGCCGGTGTTTGTACTTTGCTAAAGATCATTTAGGAGGTTAAAGTAGCATCACTCTATAACACACTCTGTACGGTACGGCTGCAACGATTAGTCGACAACGTCGATTATAAAAATTTGTTGACGTGAAATTTCATTGACGACGCATCGTTACAAAGATGCCGTTTAAGGGAGAGAGGGGCAGTATCGCTTCCACTGTCTGCCATGACTGCTTGACTGTAAGACTACTCACAAAGAAGAAATCATGCAAGAAGCGAAAGCAACAGAGAAAGAGGCTAAAAGCAGAATGGTGTTTTGTTTTATAGTAAGTTTTATATGCTATTTCATCACTAAATGCAATTTTGAGAAGTTTTGAGGTGAGAAATCAACTGTGTAGAACAATAATAATAATAATAATAATGAATATTGGCAATGGGAAATCCAAAATGTGCTAACACATTTTCGGGGGTTGAGAAGCTCCACAAGCGCCCGACCAGTCACGCCCACGGAGCGCTCTGGTCCCAGTTACTCAGACCACTGCAGCAGCAACAACAAAGCAGCAACAACATAGGAAAGGCCACAACTGTAAGATAGTTTCAATGTTCATACCTCTGTTATTCTGTCGTTACAATCTGAGTAATGGTTTAACATTTTAAAGTAAATCAAGAAACATCTGGCTCGTGATGTAACTTACAGAACATATTCTCCACATATAAGCATAAAAATAAACTACAGAAGTAGTATGAAAGGGGACTGTTGCTTTATTATTCTAAAAAGAAATTACATTGTTAGTGTACAGTTGTTGTTATAGTACTTGCTTTTAATGTGCTTTTATTTTATATAGTTCCAGAGAAAAAAATCTTTGTTAAAAAAGTTTTAAAGTTAAATCAGATTATGAGGTTATTGTGATAAATCCTGGCTGTTATTTTGGAGCAGCTCCATAGTTGTAGTGCATTCTTGGTTTTGAGGTCTCATGGATGATGCTGGCTAAGAGAACGCTCTATTAGTTGTGTTAGCAAACACGTTAAGTGCAATAGTAAATCAGTGAATTATAGGAGTATCCTACACTGTCTTGTCTTCTTCCCCATTTCCCCCTTGGTGTTGATACTAGTGTTCATTCTGAATAGTAAACCTTGTTCACTTAATAGTAATGTTAGCTAGTTAGGCTGTGTGTTGGAGATCAGTAATTCAGTTGAAAGATCTTCCAGTTTTACTCAACTTTTACACATTTCATAGCAATTATTTAAGCTCATCAACTTTATAGTTTTGAATAAGGGCTTTCAGTATTTGGATCAAGATGCTTGTTATGTCTTAGGCTTCAGCTGTTATTTCAGTAATACTTATTTAATCAAAAATATGGTATATACAAGTATTGGATCAGACTCAGGATCAGCAGACAACTAATATTACTTGGATCAAGATCAGAGCCAAAAAAAACCCTGATTTTGACATCCACAAAGGAAGAATTTATTACAGACCTGTGTGTTAGTTTACCTATCAATTTATTTAACCTTTTTCGGGCTGCAAAGTGTATACAGCAATTATTAAGATATCAGACGTCCCTTACGATGCCTTCATAATAGTCTCATTTATTATTGAATGGCCCAATGTTGGATCAATGTATAGGGCCATGTTGGGCCATGGGGTGGTGATAGCGCATAGATAAGATGCTTGTGGGAGACCTGGGTTCAATTCCCACTGTAAGACATCCACCATTGTGTCCCTGAGCAAGACACTTCACCCGTGCGACCTCTGACATGTATAGCAATTGTAAGTCGCTTTGGATAAAAGCGTCAGCTAAATGAATAAATGTAAATGTTACCAATGGTTCCACCTGTGCAGACAAACACAAATGTGATGCCCCAATATGCCACCAATGCAAATGACCTAAGTATCAGGGAAACATCTGGATGAGTCACAGTCTTACCAGCATTGTCCGCCGCTATGCTGCTGTATGGGGGTGGAGCGTCTGCTGCTACATGTGAATTTTCTTCTGGGTCCTCCTCATTGGGCAGCTGTTGGGGTGACAAACCACTTCCTGGTTAATTTAAGGCTACAATGTACTGGTGGCAGGACTTGCTGCTCTGACACAGATGCTTTCAGATAAAGAACGCTCACTGTGTAGTATTATATGTTTACCGCAACACCCTGAACTGTTTAAAAGAAGTTACAAAGTAAGCATAGCATCAGAGGCCCACATCAAACAAGTTTTTCAAGCAAATCTACCCCTCACTTCTGATTCAGCTAAACAAGATTTAAATAAAACCAAGTCCATTTTATCAATTAATATCAGTGTCAGTTTCTAGAAAGGCAAGTGAGATGGTGCTGAATACCAAGTAATAAGTCTGCTACACTGGATTTGCAGAGGTATAAATTACAGGTTAACGCCGCCACCTTTGTTTTCCCTTTGGTGTGGGTGACACTTAATATTTCAGATCCCATCGTTTCCTATAATTTTCTAGAAAGGAACTGATATGCCACCGTAAAGTCGTAGGATTACATTACTGGGAAAATGGGGGACAGTGGTAAAAGTTAACTAGCACATTTCCAAATAATTAACTCCAATTGCTGGAGTAACCTGCTAAAGCTGATGATGCACAGAGCAACTTTTAGAGCCCCTTCCCCCACCACTCCGCCACCCGCCCTACGGCTATCCGTTCAAAATGTAGTCGGACTTGCCACCAGCAACATTGCCCAGCAACATTGCACAGCAACATTGCTCAAAAAGTTGCCCCGTGTATCATCAGCTTAAGTCTTTTAGTGAGTCAGATCACCTGAACGTGCAGAAATATTATATTTGTCTACAGGGATGCTTCAATGTAAATGGAGGGTTAATAATACCCAAATTTATGGTGAATTAATATTTACCAGGGTGAAAAATAACTAATTATTTTAAAGGGACTTCTTCTGGAAAATAACAACTGCTTTTAAACTCACTCACACACCAAACTCATCTCAGGGAACTGTCGCTCTCAACTCTCGCAGTGTTCCTCTTTAATAAGTCAATCAAGTAGCATCATCGTTTCATGTAAGATACAATTTACCATTTCACTCTAAGACATTTTCACTGTTTTTTAAATGCATTAACTATCCTTTATACAGCTTCTACTTCCACTCAGATCATCATATTCACTTGTTGTTTTAAATTGTGCATAGAATCTTTAAAGAAATAAGGAGATGTGCATTTACGTCTAAAGCACCATTAGAATAGGGCTAGGTGATGTTATCACAAAAAACAAAAAAAAATCCATATAGATAATTATCACAATAAATGTCAAATCATTATTTCTTTCAAGTTAAAAGGATTTTTGTCCCTGAGTGAAAGTTGAAGAAACCAGATGGTTAATTGTAGTTTTAAATTATTCTTTAAGGTCAGAACATGATATACACTTAATGCCAAACAATGGATCATTTCACCAATCTGTGGTAGAACATTCAAAACAATTTTGATAAAATGTTTTTTTTCAACAAATATGCATGAGTAAAATTAAGTTATTAAGTTATTCGGTTCCTTTTCCTCAAGAAAATAAATAATAATAGAAAAATGCTACTTTGTTCGTGATTAACATTAATTAAAATGTATTAACCATTTGTTATATTGTTATTGAGGAAACTTATATCAGAATAATTATTATTATTGTTTTATGTCCCAGCCCTAATCAGAGTGAGTGAACACACCCACTGCTGTAACTGTTTGGTCCTGTGCTATCCAAACACTAACATTAGCATACAAAGGTCGTCGAAAGGGTTGTTTTAGCTGTAACGTTAACACCTTGCTTAGCATTCGACAATGCTAACTAGGCAGCGTGCAGTTTGCTGGCAAGCTTTCCTGACATAACTCAACGCTCGCCACCCTCAAACAATCATAGACAAAACGCTACAACAGGCAATCAAGTTAAGGTCCTGTAACGTTAGCTTTAACTACACAGCTAACGAGAAAACGCTGGCTAGTTAGCGTGCTGTTAACTGCCAGTTTAACTCGATGACAATAACGAGGTTTATCACGATAAAATTAACACAGTTTCCTTGAATAGGAAACCGTCGTTTTCCGGAAGGCGAGCTTCAGCAGTCAGTTAGTCAGCATCATAATGCTAACAGTACACAGTCGACGTTAGTCAGTTATGTTCAATCTCAAACATGGGATTCTCATACCTGCTGATATCTGGCATTGGGTTCGGCCATTCCGGTTTGAACGGCTAGTAATCAACAAGAGAGGGAACACGCCGCCGAGACACACAACGAAATTATATAACAGTAACGTGACAGACTGTAAACTCAGTCCTCGCTTCAATGAACACCCTTTCTTCCTGCCTTCCTCGACTGCTCAGCTCTCACACCACTGTCAATTTACAGTCTTGGTCATGGGTAAAAACAAAAACATACGGCTTCCTGTTAGTATTGTAGAATAAAGTACATATTGAGAACAGTAGGCAGCATCATTACAAATATATCGAGCTATTTTTAGCGAAGTAATAGGTAGCCTCCAGCACCAATAACCGGTTTATTCAGTAATCTCTTCCTCGCTAAGAATCATCATCTTTGGGTTTTTTTAAATACACTTCCTGTGCTTTTATTATGAAAACCGAAACCGACCAGTTTCTTCTTCATTCTCGCTAACTTGACGCAGGTCTTTCTCGCCATTCGTATGACGTCATTGGCCATAACAAACGCTTTACCGCCCCCCTTTGAAACAAAGTGAAACACAACCTTCAATATAAAAAAACCCGGAAAATTTAAATACTAAAGTTAAGAAATAGTTATCAAACACAGTGTACTTTACAGTAACTGTTATATGCAGCTGTCTTGGAAGACATTTCTGGTTCTTGTCTTGAAAACAACTGCCAACCCAGCATCAAACACAAGGGATCACAGGTAAAATACAGTAGGCTTATGTGTAATTAATTGGAGACACTACCAACAATGTCACACTATTATCAATTATTTTGAAACATATTGTTTTCGGTTTGGATGTGACTTGAATAAGTAGGCCTAGATCAGCAGTTGGACAAGCAGATTAGGCTACTGGAAGCAAACAATGAGAAGAATGACAACTTGTACCTGGCACATATAAAGTGTTCAGTTTGAAACAATGATACTGAAAATAATCTATTTCAATGTGTTTACCCTACTCTTACACAGTAATGTTCTCACTAGTTACAGTAACTTTAAACTATAAAATGTGAGAAACTGACATTAATACCTATCTTCAGATTTATGTGGCCATCTTCATGCATTTTTAACTCATGAACATCAGTCAATAGTACATGACTTAACAGTATGTATAGCCTATGTCACTTAATATATTCTTTAATTCACTCTCAGAATAGTTCATCCTTGTGCAATAAAAACAAAAAACAAATGGGTATTGTAAGGCTTTATTGTATCTTTATCTAAAATAAAAAGACAACAACAATACCTGCGACACTTTGTATGCAAGCTCAAGTGTTGGAGAAGTGAAACTGAATTCTAGTCAAGTTTCTGAGGTTTCTGGTATTTAAGGAGCACAGGGTAAGTGGTGCCTATGTGCTTTTGGTTGTAGTGGTGGCAAACAATCTCCACATCGTATAAACTGAACTGGACTTTGACACGCTCGTTGGGCGAGGTGAGGAAACACAGAGTGTAGAGGGCGAACTCGAACTCGGGACTGACGCCGATGAAGATGCTGCCCTTGGGCTTTATACCGTCCTTCCAGCTGAACTGTAGCGCCAGGATATGTTTGTTCTCGTCGGGCTGCAGTGAGAGAGAGAGAGGGGGGAAAAAAGGCAAATGATGAAACAGAGGAGGCGAGGGATGGAGGAACAAGTAGGACTGTTTGATGAAGGCAGCTGTGGGCTAATTTTCATCAGTCTGAGGAGAAGAGACAGGAAAGACAGAAGTGTGAAAGATGTTTGAGGCGTCAGCATGTCATTATTAGGCATAAACATGAGCCAAGAGTGAGACAACAAATTAAACTTAGATGTAACAAATACATAACCATATATTTACTACCTTATAATGTTTATGAGTAGCTCATCATTGTGACTTTTTATCAAATAATTTTTACTTCATGAATCAAAATCTTTGACATATATCATAATTTTGACTTACTAAGTCATACAAATGGCTTACCATTACTATTTTTATGTTTATCATCCATACAATTTCATCTGTTGTCTTCTCCTGGTGGAAATGTGCTTCCATATATGAAGAGATACACCCATATTTGGGAAGATTTCCCCATTGGTCAACTTTATCCTACAGTATTTGCATCCCTTGAGTCTAGTGATGCAAATACTGTGGCATGTAGGAGCCTATGGCATACTTGCAAACTGCAAAGGGTATTGGTGGAAATTATTAAAAATAGGATATGAAAATGTAGCACTGTTTCAAACCACAGGAGACTCTGTTGGATGTTTAAATAGAAAATGGGAATGTGTCGTAACTTACCTCAAATTGTTCCAAACATAAACCTGGCTACATGAGCTACAATGAGTAAAGACTTCATATTAAAAAAATGTCTGCACACATCATTTAACTTTTTTTCATTAGCATACTCATTGGCCGTGGATAACTTTGAGCCTTGGTGCATTCCATTTAATGTTTGTACCTCAACGTAAGCACTGAGCAGGAAGCAGGGCGCGAGTGATCTACTGGAAACACACAGATGACTTTGCATAGATTCTATCACTTACAAATTTTACATAAACATAATAAACGTGTGCTCAGGTTAGACAGAGCAAACGACGAGAGAGCAAACTTGATCGTAGCAAGATGTGATGTTTCTGATCAATGTGCAAGAACAACGATGAGAGCAACACTACAAAGAATGCACGGCAACTTGGGGAGACAGAGGAGATGAGAGAAGAGGGAAGTTAAATGTGACGGGAACATTTAGAAATGGAGGATCTGTATATATTATGAAACTATAACTATATGAAATTTAAAGTGTGTAGCCTTAAAAAAGACAAACCCAGGATTTCTCAGGTAAAAAAGGAAGCTGAATACATTTTTAAATACTTGGAAAATACAATAATGTTTATCCTATATTATACAGATATAGTAGTGCTGAAAATATGTTCTTGCCCCATTTTGGCCAATCTCAAAGCAAGAAACACACAATAACACTGTACCTGGGGTGAATTTGCATTGACGCTGTAGCCTTTGTAGTCGATGTGCCCCAGCTTTTCTTGTAGGTAGAGCTGGATCCAATTGTGAAAGCCAATGACAGTCCGCCTTCCTCTCGTCTCTCCGACAAACACGTGTTCAAATCCTGAGGAGTCTGGCCTGGTGGGAGATAGGGACACGCCATGTCGTCAGTTATTTTGTCTGAAGGATCTTTTTCACTTGTGTAAATTCATCAGCCCCATTTAAAGGGAGATGGAACCTCAACATAGCAGCTTGGCATCTATGTCATGTGCCGTTTGGTCAAAATGTGGCTGCATCCATCCTGAAAATGCAACAATGAAAAAATGAAATTTCAGCACAGTGATGCTGACTGGATGTGCTACACAGAGCCAGTTTCTCAGAGTAAGACGGTTATCTTCATAGTGCCAGATTCCGCTGGTGACTTTATATTTATGTGCTGTGCCAGATTCCACCCACCTGCTTGATCCTCTCCTCGCATAAAGTTCAAACCAGATCCTGTACAGCTGCTCCTTGAATTGTGTATCATCCGCTGGAGAGAGATGCTTCTCAACCAGGTATTTATGAGCTATCTGCAAACAAACAAGAAGTTCCTATAAAATGTTTACATTTAGGTGGCCTACATCGATCCAGACTGAAATTTCTCAACAACTATTTGATGGATGGCCATGATTGCCATGTATAGACATTCATAGTTCCCAGACAATGATTCAACAACTTTTACTACCCACTGACTTTCATCTAGCGCTACCATCTGGTCAAAAGTTTAATGTTAATTGACACGGTCAACATTATCCTTGCTAAACATCAGCATGTCTGTGAGCATGTTAGCATGCAGACATTAGCATTTAGCTCAAAGCAAAGCTGTGTCTAGTAAAACCTCACAGAGCTCCTAGTATGGCTGTAGACTTTCAGTCTTTACATATCAAACACTCCAGATTGCTAAATGCAGAACTGGGATCAGTTGCCCCCGCCCAATTTACCATCATGTACATTACAAACTGAGGGGCAAAACTGGTTTTGGATCTGCTTTCCCGTAATTGGGGTCCCTACAGGTACCTTCATAGTGGGAGTCTGAATGATGGAATCCAAGAACTTGTGGTTCTCTGCTACCTCCTCTGGGGTTACAATTTCTGGCTCACCAGTGTCACTCTCATAGTTATCCAACAGGGAGATAAAGGCTGCAGAAACAAACACAGACACTCTTCAGAAAAGGGATTTTTTCTATCTGGGACAATACATGATGTCATTTTTCAAAACACATAATATGTTTAAGTGCTGTCCAATCCTACAAACATGGATGTAGTAACGATTATGAAGGAAACTAAGCATGAATACAGAAACCTCCAGCTCAGTATAGTACAGAAAAAGTCTCCTGCCAACTATTACATAATTCAGCTGCTTTTATAGCTCTGTGTGAGGGCACTGCTTTCTCTTTCATGCTACACAAATTACAACAAACATCTGAGAAAACACCACTAGAAAAAAATTGCCTGAGGGAAGCATCCTTTAACAGTTATCATGCGGAGGAAGATGTCAAGGAGAAGAAGTCAGTGATTGGAGAGGAGCATCTTTCTGCACCCAGCTCAGTGGACTCAGTGGCATGTTCTGTGCTTATGCAACATGCCACTGTTCGTCATAAGGAGATTATGAGTAGATGGAAAAGCTTTCCTCTGAAGGGAGGGGACAGAGAGGATAGTATCAAACTGGCAAATGGTGCCGTGGAATGTATGAAGAAATCACATCAATTCAAAACATTCTCTGAAGCAGTGACCCATCCTGAAAATCCAGTCGAAAGGCTGCCTCGTCCCACAGAAACAAGTCAAAGACATGAAGAAAGATACCTCACTGTTGACCAAAATTAAGTCAAATCATGGTGAGCTTGTGTACTAATCCCTTATGCACTTACCTAAAAAAGTCTCCTTTTTGAAAATGTTCTCATCGACAAATGTAAACAGAGGAGATCCTGCTCCATCATTGTTGTCGTTGGCCATGCTGTCTCCAGCTTTGCCCTGCAGCAAGAGGAGAACCACTCATATTTAAAAATTTGACAAACAGTTTTGGCAAATAGTTTATGTAGGCTCACTGCTTCCTGTTTTCCCAAAAACTCTTAATATGCTGTTCAATGAATAACCTTCATACATTTTGTATTCAATCATTTAATGTCTTAAAATAAGTGTTATTGATATTTATTGATTGATTGACATAACCAAGATGCAACAAGTATGCAACTACACATAACAAAATGTTGATGATTAATAAAGAGAGCAGCCTCGTGTCTGTGCGGCGCACCTGCAGAGAGATCCTGTAGTCTTTTCCAGGTTTAAGTCTGTTGATGTCGTTGTCCCATAGTTCTTGCACCATGGCTGACAGCTCTCTGTCACTCTCAATCATGATGTGACCGCTCGGTTGTGCGTATGGTTTGGTTTTTATATATTTCTGTAACAGGAGACAAGCAGTCAATAAAAGCTTCTGCTAGGTTTGACATAAACAATGAGCCTTAGTGGTGGACAGTAACAAAAAGCATATTTGCTCTAGGAATGAACTTAAGTACAATTTTGAGGTACTGGTGCTGGTATATTTTACATGTTTACTTGCATTTGAGAGGGAGATGTTGCACTTTTTTGTTTGATTCGTTTTTACATGCAAAACATCTCATGCACTTTTAGACCTCAGATATATTTTAAGGCAGTTAGTTCTCTCAGACATTGATTCCTTACTAGAATCAAGCAATTTAGCCAACTGTTGGCTGAGTTACTATGGAGAAAAATTTAAATCCCTTGAAGTTGTGTTTTATTTAATAATGTGTTTTCTTCACAGGGAAAAAGTTTCAAAGATAAGTTTCAAAATACATCCGCCTCTCAGAAAATGAGAACACCCTACACAAAGTGTACTGTTGATTATTTACGTTGCATCTCATTTATCCAAAAAGCCAAAAATCTGTGTTTGCACATTTGAGAACTGGTTTTGGCACAAATGTGCACTTGCTCAAACAGTTCTTTTCTCACACACACTGTAAACAGCTCCTCTACACTGCAATTCAAACATTTTCATAATTTATAGGATAATTTGTATAGCAGAATGGTTCTAAACTTTCTTAGCGCTGGCAGGCATTGGTTTGTCAAGGTGATTAACTGGTTAATGAGTTAATACAATGGCTTTTTCTTCGAGGTATCAAGATTGACAGATCAAAAAACAAAAACATAATGTGAGCTGTGTGATTTGGGAGACATGGGAATTGAGTCCCATGTTCTCTTGTACTGTATGTAGTACTGTCATAATTTACTATAAAAGTGAGGATGTTCATTGAAATGGCCAAAAAATAAACATGAATTATTCTGGCGATAGTCTGGTATAGTTAGTCGAAAATTGGAATTGCTGTTTTACATGTTTTTTAAGGCTGTTAACGTTGTCTTTAAATCCTGGAAAAGAAGGCGAGATGGATTATTAGATCAGTGTTTATTCTCCAGTATTATGCAGTACATTTTTTGTTAGTGATTTATAAATTTTGGTGTAGACAGGAAGGTCTGAAACGTGATTGTCAAAATTATTCTAATTTATTTTTGGAGTATTGCTTAAAATTGCCCAGGAATTGTTGTATGCGTGAGACAATAATAAAACATTCATATGTTATCCCTTGTTTAAGATGGCTTTAATTTACATAGCTACCTGTCAGCACTATATGGGGATGTTTGTTTCAGAACTTAAATCTGTGCAGATATGTTAAGTTATGTGGGCCTGTGACAGCATTGTAAAAATACAATGGCTTCCCCAGCCAGACAGAGCCTATTCATCCGACTTAACACTCGAGCACCAGCACACCACTACTGCAATCCACAAAAGCATGGCTTACAACAGATCACACATCCATGGCACCGAACTTCATCATCACCATCCGAGCCCCAGGTCGCATCCCATCAGCCACCACATCAGAAACCACTGACCTCTTCGCGTTGAGTCTTGTCCTGCTTGTATGGTTCAGTCAGGAGAAACTGATGAGTTATTTGAGGGTCAGTGAAGCTCCCCAGGGTTGGTCAGGTGCTGCTGGTGGTGGTTTCCTGTGTTTGTGAGAGCAGGTGTCTTTACCGGCATAGTAACAGTTCAGTCAGTCAGTCATTCGGTTGGGAGGGGGGTGTGGGCGAACAGAGAGCAGGACAGGAGAGAGGGACCATTTTAAAGGGTTATCCCCTGTCAGCAACTCTAGCCAAAGGGATTACACCATGTTGTCGTCTCTTTTCAATCTCAGGCTACAACGTGGGCACTTTGTTTCTTTAGTATTTTTAGTATTTCATTGTTTCGCCCTCTGTCACAGCATAACCTCTGGACTACAGGGTAAATGTGGGATATGTTTCAGGTAATAAGATATTGTAAATTCCATAGGAGTATAAGTGAGCACTTATTTGAACCATAATTATTCTGATTTTGACATTAAATTCTAAATTCTCTTAACTCTTAAGACTATATGTTTGGTCAAATTTGAGGAAAACTTCTAAACAACAATTAATAGTGGCATTTATGCACTACATTAAAAAAAAAAAAGCCTTGTATCGGGTTTGACATAGATCACTGTCTACATTATTTTATAAACATTTGCTTCATTACTTTTAAAACTTTTGAAACATTCTTGTTGAATAACGATATGTTAAACGTTTTATGTAGGCTATTCACACATTTATATGAGCTTTTTAGTTGTTTCTAATATTTTTCTCTGAATGCTGTCTTTATACAACCATAAAAGGAGAGTGGACAAAACATCTTCTTGGCTCCTTCTGTACTTAATTATGTATGGTAGGTGAAAATAAACATACATAACATCATTTTAAATTAGCTTAGAGGAATGGGACTTGAAGTCTTGGTGCTCTAACTCAACTTTGCCCACCTAGTCTAATACTTGGATGAGTCAGCAGTGTCTGTTTGTGTGAGACACAACACAAAATGTGAATTTACGCACTTGTGCAGGTGAAAAACAGCACTGTGATCCAACCGTAGAAAAAGTGAACCTCTGAATGGCTGGAACAAGATCACTTCATGTAAAAGTCACCTAATTGTAATCAAACCTTTTATTTCAGTCAACACGTGAGTTTTTCAATGTAACAAAGGTGGCATATTGTGTCATGTTAATATTCTGTGAAGCCTTAATGTGGTCTATGTTGAAGGCACATATGTGCGAGGAACAACTAAAGAGTGTAACACCTGCAAAAAACTGTCTCATCATGACCCCGGAGCAACTGGAAACAGCATTATTGTTCTGCCACCGGCATTCGTTTCAGTTGGGTGTCCTCTTGCTATAGGAGCAACCACTACTGGAACAGTTCCATAGCAGCTGAACTGACATTACGTCCACCATTTTGTTAGACCTGTTACCAAGCAAATACTGACAGGCGTCTTTCATCTATTTCTTCTTGACTGTCCAGGTTGGAGCATTATCTGTAGCATATCTGTTTTGTATTTTGCTGATTTGTGATTTAGTAGAATTTGATTTTGGTATGGTCAGCTTACTGCTAACCAAGCCAGCCACTATATTAGAGGTAGCTGTCTGGAGCTAATACAATACTCTAAGCAGAAGGGGCCTTAAGCCCTATGATGGGGGTGGTTGGCACTGGTTGGTCTCCATGCACACTGAGTGAAATGTGCAGTGTTAAAAGTGGTAGGATTAGTTAATTCTTGCATTTGAGATCCAGTGAATAAAATAGACACAATGTTAAGTGCTAACATTTATTTTGAGGAACAGTATGCTGAATGCATTTCAACAGAATTTTGCCAGTCCCTGTAATCAAACATTTCTTACATGAGACATGAAGCAACAGTGGCTCTCCTTTGATGGGAAAGTGAATGTGCAAACTGAAGTGAGAGTGTATTATTACCAGTCAAAATGAAAATAAATTAACATTATACACAATAATTTTTGGATCTCTAGAGATTATCAAGATTGTATGGCCTCTCTTTGACACTAATGTTTGGCAACATTAAAATAAAAGTTGTACAAAGGAGCGTGTAAATTAAATCAAGTGAAATATCATTCCTAAATGCCTTGGCTATTTACCAAGTGAGGATTTTTCTTTCTCACACCACAGTCCCTGAATGATTTGGTTTTTCCAGCAAGTACACACACACACAATCATCACAATCCTAGTAACTCCATCAAAGGATCTACTTTCATGAATATTTACTGCAGTGTTCTCCTTTATTACATTCTATATGGACAAATACATGTGACTCTAAATAATTATGAAACCATTCCACACAAACTATCTCATGAAATCCCACTTTTTGCTGGCTAGACTTACACGATTCTGTAAACTCGTCTCATGAGAACGCAGATCTAAAGATCAATTTCAGAAGAAAAGAAAAAATGTAATTCCTGACAAAAGACCCAGCCTGAAATTAACAGTCTGAGGATTTCCCATTCGGGTAGTCAACCAAAACAGCCTAAAGCTGAAACAAACAACAAAACCTCAGTCGTTTTGGAATTATGGCTGGGTGACAAATCTCCAGGTTTGCCTCCATTGCTTTAAGCCTGTATCTTAATGCTGTGTCTTGGTTGGATCATGAAATTCACTTTATTATCCACCTTGAAGTTTGTTAGCAGAAAGGTTTAACTGTCATACGTTGACAGGTGACAGAAAGCTATCCAGAGGGTAGATACTCATTACAACAAGCAAGATACTTAGTATGACAAAGGGCAAAAGTGGAGTCCGTCTTTTCAGTATCACACTCAGAGGGAATGGTTGCTAGCTAACTGGAAGTAAACACCTTGAATTGACCAAACTGAGCTTAGTCAGTGGTTCAAGTATCAGCCCTTGATCATTAGCCTGCGGGATGTCAAACCTGATCATGAAGTGTACATCCAATTCAGAAGAAAGTACATACTCTTATCTCATTACTGTATAATAAAGAGAAATTCAACCAAATTTCGTTTTCTGTTCACTTGCTTTAAGTCTTGAATAAAAATTCCAGTCCCATGACACTCATATTTAAAAGGCCAATTTACGTATCCAAGTATGTATCCTTGATGGTCATAACCATAAGAGTGAATATTTAAGAAAATGCCTACTTTTACCAAAATGATTCTATTTCTCTTTGAGATAAAGCTTGAACTGTTCTCGTTCTCTCATTCCTGAAAGAAAACTTCACATACATGATATATGTCATATATTAAGTAAACAGGAACAATGCACTGAATGTTTTATACCTAAGATGCCTGACTATATTCCAAACATAAATAATGATGCCACGGTAGATAGGGATAGTGGCACTGTTGTTCTACTGCAGGCGTAGTGAGTGCCACAGGTGAAGATAGTTATGTGAGATAAAGTGCATTCAAACGGTACTGAGGTACTGCGCTAATGTCAGTCCTCCTCATCACTCCAGAAGGCATCTTCTTCATCGAGATCCACACCTTGGAAGAGCCTGCGACGGGCAAGAAAAGACACATTCAACCAATGTGTTTGTAGATGGACAGTGTCAGTGATTAAATGTCTGAAGTGGTGAACACAAAAAGAGAAAGGTCACTCACTGGTTGTAACAAGGTGAATTGGGGTTGTTAAAGTGACTGTACGGGTTGACTTTGCTGAGCAGGCCCAGGCACAGCCAACAAAAGTATTGTCTACAAGAGGTACACGTCATCTTATTACAGCCATCCACTTTCTAAACAGAAACAGAGACAAGGCATCAGAAAACATCAATTAACAACAGTAACTGACATAACCAGAGGCTGGGCATGAGAATCCTCACACAGGATCACAGGTCGCAGTTAATTCTGTATTCACCTGACTACATTCACTCATTTGGTGTATTATGTTGGTGATGAAAATAAATTCTGTGTTTCGTAACTGAAAGCAGTGAACACTGACCCCTGGGGATAAAGTCAAAGCCTGTTCTACTGTCTGTTGCCAGCAGAGGGAGCCACACCTGTATGTTGGTTCCACAGTGTGGGCAGCTTTTACAGTTCTCATTGAGCCAGTCTCTGCTAAAGGACTCTTCCACTGCTTTCTGGATCACCCTCTTCCCAAAGCGTTGCTCCATGAACTTTTTCCCCTCCGTTGTGGCAGACAGGTACTCATCTCGGAGGTTACGCAATTCAGCTGAGGCACAAGATAGAAAACAAGGACAGCATTGGATTTAAACTGAGGACACAGGGTTGGGACTGACAAAATGTTCAGCTGAAAGGCAGTATCCACAGTCCTTAAGCCAGCCTGTTCCTACACAGCTTTAAAAGTTGAAGTCTTTTTAAGAATAATTACTCTTCTCTTGTTGCCCTAAAAAACAAAATGACTGTATGTTCAGCGACATTACCTGCAGGGATTTTACAGTTGGAGAGACCATGATAGCCCAACTTGCACAGTGTGCAAAAAGCATACTGGCAGGCCGAGCAAATACCCATGGTTGTGTCTGGCTCCACCATAACAGCAGTGCCGCAGGAAGGGCGGGGACAGTAGACCACATCGGCCATGAGATCTAGACTAGACTGGAGCAGCAAACGGTCATAACGGGCAAACATCTGCTCATCTACCAGCTGCTTCACCTGAGTGATGAAGACGAAGGGAGGGAAATGGTTCATTACAACTTGAATTACTTAAACCCTCTTCTGAAAAATCAGTTTTGTGAGGAATTACAAAAAACCAAAGGTACATACACATACATCTACTTTACCGCTCTCTTACCTGCAGCGGTGTGGCTAAGGAGGTACATTTGGGCTCAGGGCAATTAAGGCACTGAACGTTGCCGTCCCGTATTTGAATCTGGAAGTATTCAGTCATACAGGCCTTGCAGTAGACATGCTGGCACTCCTTAAAGCAGAGGCAGTTGGAGCCCAGTTTCTCTACAAAGCATATCCCACAGCAGAACACCTTGCTGTCAAACACTCTCTGTCGCTGCGCTTCGTCAAAATCCAGGAGCTGAGGTAGGAGGTCGGCGCGCGGATCCATCAACAGGACGGCCCGCGGGTCTAGTTGAGAAGACGAAGACAACTGCGGTTCAGATTTGCCCTTCTTCTTGTCCTCTCTTTTGTTCTCCTCACTGTTTTCAGAATGATTCCCACTCTGCGTCAGAGCTGAACAAAATTGATAAATGTAACAATCATCATCAAAAAACAATCCAAAAAGTTTTCCAAAAGTTACATTTTTTAACGAAACTAAAGTGTGCTCCTTATAGTTTAGCAAAATAATAACATGTTCTCATGAAAGACAAATCCTTGCCATATCGTGATTTTTATATGTAAACTGACTGAGGACTCTTACAGAATGTGTCTTTGATCGAATAAAGCATTTGTTTGAGACATCAGAAATCGTTTTACAGCAAACAAATTAGTCAGACAGAGCGAATACATGTTAACTGCTGGTACTGTACCCAGTTAGTCTACAGTATCAGCCTACTATTACTTCACAGGAGAACATTAGTAACAGAATAGCAAAAGAGCATATTTGTGTTTTTGCTGACAGAGTTCTTATTTTACTTGAACTCTAAACCAAAGAATGATCTACTTGTTATAGATATATACAGGTATGACTATTAACTAATGCAGATGCATCCACAGAAGCAAACAAACAAATTTATTTAACAAAACACACACTGTACCTGTGGCTGCAGGGTCTGTTTTCCTGCGCTCACCGCCTGCCTTACTTCCTCCCCTTGTGACTTCAAGAGGAGACTGGATTCCCAGAAAGTCCAGAGCCTCCTCTTTCAGGAGCTGGATCCACGTGAAAAGAATCACACAGCCTTGGTTCTCCTCCCACAGCTCATCCAGGCGTCTGCACAGAGAGCTCATCTGAGGCAGTGAAAAGGAGAAGGAACAGGTATTGAGAATGGTGAATGGTAAGGACTGCCCAGAAGCTTTCTTTTGAGTGATACCAACAATAATTCTTTATCAAAGTAAAACCACTGAGTTGACTCTCAATTTGAATACTTTGCCAAACCCTGCTGACATGTAGAGGTCAGCTTTTGCAATGATGTTGTGAAGATATAAGCTAGCTTGAGTCTCACCTGTGCTCTGGTCATCCATTTAGAGCTGAGCGTGAAGATTGGTGCGGACATGGATGGATAGTCAGCAGGAAGCTCAAAGTTAAGCACCAAAGGAGGCAAGAAGCAGACATGATATTCAGTTTTCTCTCCTGCAACACAGAAATTATTTTGTTACATTTCCTAATGGGGGTGAGACCAATAAATACTGTATGGAAATCTACAATATAGACTCAATACAATATATGAAAAGTGTCTACTACTGTGCTTGACTTGCAAATGAGTTTTGCTTAAGTTATAGGCCTCGCCCTTATTTCTTTACACTGCTTTCTGACAGCTCTACCTTTGACAACAACTTTGAAATCAGGAGGGAGCTCTAGACAGAACTGGATCTCTCCCCCCTGTGCCGAATCTGCCCGGTGGAACTCCTCCTCATCATAGATACTTGCTAATGCAAGCAGCTCATCCTCCTGGGCTTCCTTGTCCTCAGACATTTACATTCCTGTAACAATAATAACAAGTTTGACATAAATTCATAATTATGAAAATCTACAACAGCAAAAGCAACACATGGATGTTGCCAAACAAACAGCTACCAGACGTTAACACGATGAGAAGAGAGCTGTGGATAATAATATCGTATTTCACTAGCTACTACTATCATTACAAAAACAAAGTCATCATTTCACAGCTATAGCTTCACATACGGCTGTCCTTTCGTAAATTATCTGATCTAATTACTATCCTTAAGGCACTCTTAAAACGTACACAAGTGAACGCTATATACATGGTGAGCATAGTGTGTCTTTACCTTCCCCACAGCTAACGCAACTTTGTTCTGACATAATGTCAGCTTGCCTTAGCTAACGTTAGAGCTAGCTATGGCTATAATGTGGCTCAAAAGTTAGCACGCTAGCTAGCAAAAGTAAACTTTACCCAAATTAGACGTGGTCGTCATTTAATTATACTTTAACGCTCGCCTAAATAACAACGTTTGTTGTTGAGGACAGGGGAAAACTGGCAATCTTTACGCCAGGAGACAGTTAAGCTAGCTAAGTTAACTATTAACGTTAGCAGAGGGGGAAAACATTCAAGCTAGCTATCAGTATAGTTGTTAACAGTGGCTATGGCTATGGCTACAGAGCTCCGTGCTGCTGTAACTTTTCCTTTTTGGCAGCACTGAACCATAATTGTCCTGCTTCATATGTACATCTGAGCAAAGCAATTACAAGTGCAGTAACGTAGCACTACTGTGAAAATAACGCGTTTCATACCTTGTCCGACCCAAGTACTAGTAACTCCTTCACTCTGACTGGTTCATGACCGGGGCAGCTTGGGTGTTACAGCGCCGCCTGCTGGCTAGTTGGTGCACAACATTAAAACTATGCTAATACCAGACATATCCGTTCATATTTATTAGTACATTGTAAGAAAAGGCTATCGGACACAAATATATGTTCTGACGTTAAACTTACATGTTTTACGAACTGTCGAGAGCGACCTGGTTATTTAACGTTGACTGAGAAAACCATTTTTTCATATTTACATTACAAAATGTAAGTCCATAATACTCGCTTGGCTGTATTGATAGTGTAACTATAGTTACTGTACGCATTATATTTTTGGATTAAGTTTATCATACTAATTTATGTTATCTTTACAGTACACTGTGGTAAAATATACATTTCAGTTTGAGTAATTCCACAATATTAGTTGGACTTTTTGGCGGAGGACAGTCAAAAGTGTAACAGAGGTAGTACAACCAAAAAACTTCTGGCAACTTCAGAGTGGAGGAGTTTTTCTGTGAACCCAGAGAAATTGGGTTTGTGTACTACAATGTTGAATTAAAGATTATTCAAGAAGAAATGATTACACACACTCTTATTACACACAGGACAGGAGACCGCTATCAACACAGACAAGAGTTACAATAGCATTAATTATAATAATAGGAATAATCCCTCTTGAATACTACAACACAACCTCCAAATATATTATATAATATATCTATTAGCTAATGAAGTACTTATGATTTTGATTATTTGTCATTTAATCTGCCATGTATCTTCTGGATTAATTGTTAAGCAACAACAACAAAAACAGCCAATAGTCACATTTGAGAAATTGGAACCAGGTATATTTTGTTCATTTTTTTTTTTTTTTAATACTTTAAACAATGAATCCACTATCTCTCCAGTGACTGATTAGTCGACTAGTCAACCAGCTGTATCAGCTGTAAATGTGCCAAAATGTCCTCCTTGTCCACTTCAGCAACTACGTACCACATCTACACTGTCACTAAAGTGTTGGACTTCAGAGGAAATCCTGTAGTGACAACAAATGCAGAGCACTTAATTAAGAAATTATCCACAGTTTACAAGGTGACAGGGTGTTACAGCGTGTTCACGAGGAATAAACTGAAGGCAGGAGATAGCCATTGTGTTCACATATAAAGAATGACCACTCCTTCTCAATAAGCAATGTCTCACATCGCATGCTTTTTTTTGGGTCAAGATTTATTATTTTTGGTGACGTGGCAACAACAGCAGCACCAAGAAGGTGATTAGTTGGACCAGCATTCACACTGTTAAGTAGAAAAAAAAAAACAGTACAAGGCTACCAGAGAACAACCAACGGACCATTGCTTTTGAATGAGAAAAGCCAAACAATAAGATCCTGCATGACAGTAACTTAGTATCTAGTTTCCACATACAACACAAGTAAACTCAACAAAAACCTTCCCTCCTTCCTTTTAAACTTAAAACATTATAACCCAGCAGTTACAATTATTTATAGTGAAAAAAAATGCACTATTTGTCATGTACAATGTGGAATAATCCATGTTCGTTGACATGTGCTGCTGAATCTGTTATTTTGACATACTGCAATATTTTACATTTTCAGGAATCCAGGGTTTATTACTAGTTTTCGTGTTCACAGCCACTTTGCTTACAATTCGTCACATCTTACATTCTTAGCTTAAATGTGCTCAGGAGACGCTGAACATAACTACCTTTAACATAATGGCCGTCAAAGCAACACGGAGAAAGCGGTTTCCATCCCACGCTCATAACTTTTATGTCATTAAGTAGACTGTTCAATATTAATATTATGCAACATTTTTGTATTCAAAGAAAATAAGAAGTGACATGCCGAGGAGGCTGATTGATGAATAGTATTGATTAAGGATGCTGCTGTCTTTTGTCTTCAAGAGAAACTACTTCCATCAATAACAATCTCAGAAGAACGACAGAATTGGGGCAGAGTAGAACGACAAACGTAGGTGAAACTCAGGCGCAGCAGGTGCAACAGTTAGTCAATGTCCATTTCAGGGAGCTTGTTCTCCGCCGTTCCCTGTTCCGTGCCTGTGGATGTGGCTTTGTCTGGGTTGCATGGCTGGCTCTCTGTCTCCTCTGGCCCGTTGACTGGCCCATTCTCCGTCTTCTCCTCCTTAGGAGGCTCCACCTTGGGCTTGGGTTTGGACACCACAGGATTGCAGGCTGAATAAAGCTCCTGAACAGGGAAAAAAAAAAAGCATTAAAGCAGGGCTGTCCCCGACTAAGGATTAACATAGTCGAATCAGAATAGGTCTTGCCTATAGTCGGGGGGGGGGGGGGGGGGGGGGGGGGGGGGCTCCACTTTAATCTTGAAAAGCTGCAGAGCTGCAGTCTTTTTCCATTAGTCAGTGTAACTTACACTGTTACATTTATAGCTAAACTGAAGCTTATTGTAGACCATTATCTCACTGACTGCCTGCCATTCACCGGTCTTGTGGTCAGAGTTTTGCGTGCATGCCGTGGTTCACGGTTACTTGCATATCTATTTCAAGTAGCTTACTATTTAAAAACAATATAATATTCTTTGTGCGGTTACTCAATGGCGATAAATGATCGAAACGGCCTGCAAGGTGCGGACAACTCGGCACAACACTTGTGAAGCTGGGGCTCTGTCTCTGCAGCAAGTGTTCCTCTACTGCCACTACACACATACACGCTACACCTACACTTACACCTGCGCACTGATGCCCCAGGGTTAGGGTTACAATTATGGATTTATTCACGCACTTTAAAAACATTTATTAAAAGCTTTTGTTCATTTTTACATGTTTATATACAGCATAGAACATTGAAACTTATATTGTAATATGCTGTATATTAACTTATTGGGAGAAAACTGGTAGTTCTATGTAACATCAGCTGTTGAGCACCCCCAAATCGCCAAAATGACATGATCCTTGTTTTGCTGCGAAGCATCGATTGTGAGTTTGACAGTCAAATCAGGCTCCACCCATCAAAGCATCGAATCTTCGCCTATTCGGGGTCAGCAGTACATATTAGCCAGTATTTATAAGGTTAAGTGTGCATTTGTCTTGATTGCACTATAGGTACCTTAGCCTTGGCCTGGATCTCCCGAACTTTGACCACTGGTTCCAGAGTGAGGTCCTGACTGTTCTGCTGGTTCATCTTGCCGTTCATCCAGACCATGGCGTCGTTCACCTGCTTATCCACCCGAGTCACGTCCAGCTCATCCAGGTGATTGTACTGCTCATCCTGTTGGGAGAAGCGCAGGTAAATTATGACACCTGTCTGGTGATTGTCAATAATCTAACCTACAACTGTTCTTTAAATCTTCTCTGTATCTACAGTATATTTACGCTTGACTTAAAAGACTAGACTAAGCTGCCTCTCTGTGCCAGGTTACCTTTGCCTTGTAAGCTTCAATGATCTTCATGTACATCTGGATCTGTCTGCCCAACTCCTCAAATGCTTTTGGCCTCTCCTCAGCTTCCATGTATCGCTCATGAATTGGCTGGCCAATTTTCTGTAAGGAAAGCCAAGTTTATTTGTATGGCACATTTCAACAACAAGGCAATTCAAAGTGCTTTACATAAAACATAAAAGCAACATAGGGAAATAAAAAAAAGTTTTTTATTAATTTATTACAACTATTTGTTCACCTGTAATTCTAATGGGTTACGAATAATCAGGCTTTTCACCTTCCATTGTTTAGCTTTTTTGATTTCTCATCTCTCACACCAGTCAAACCTTGTTTGATATTTATTTCCTCTTATTCACTTATTAACTACTTAGTTGCCTTGAATACAGATTGTTTGCGCTACAATCTTGGTAAAAGCAGTCGAGTTGAGCCATAATTGACCCAACAGCGAAGAATTATAATAGAGATTCTAATCAGCGCTGTCAGACTTGGTCTGACTACTTATGAGAGAGGAAAAACCAACTGACTTTCAAAGGCAAGGAAGGTCTGTAAAAAATAAATAAAACAATAAAATAAACTAAATAAAATTGAAGAATTCCCGGTTTAGTCAGCCAGTCATCCAGCAGGAGAAAAACATGGCTTTTCCACCACAAAATCAACCTATTAACTACTGAAAAATATTGATATTGTTGAGGATAAAGCCATTCTACTATTTTAAATATTGTACTATGCATTTGAAGTTTCTATTAAAACCACAGAACACAGTACATAAACATAT